AGTAGAGTGCTGAGTCTCATTCATCTCTAGTCCTACTGGAGATCCCTGCAAGGTAGGAAAGCACAGGCAATCACCCAGTATGTGGACAACATATTGACTACACTTTGCTCTTGTAAGCTAAAAAAGGATAATCAATATTTAACAAAAATTTCTTGTTTTGGTTGTATGCACTATGCCAAGTGTGGTGTAGACTGTGTTGTTAGATGCCGTTGAGTCAGTCTCAACTCATCATGACCTTATATAGAACAAAACAAAAGCGCTGCCCTGTCCTGTACCATCCTAGCAATCTTTGCTATGCTTGAGCCCCTTGTGTCAATCAATTTCATTGGGGGCTTTTGTAGGCTCTAGGGGAACAGAAACAAATGAGACTCTGTCATTTCCCCACAGGCACTCCTCTTGGGTGACCCACGCAGAGAAACAGCAAGTTGTGTTAACAGATTAGAATATTGGCTAGGTGCCCTGTGACTGGAGTCTCACCGCCCAGATTCAAACCTGGGTTCACTCCACTCTACCCCAAAACTTCATCAGAATACATAAAATTGCTGTGCTCCATTTCTCACCTACAAAATAATAATCTGTGCACCTATACCTTGGGGATAAATTGTGCAAATGAAATTTAAAAAGCTACATAACACATAACTCAGAGCCTGGCACCAGGAAACTCTCAGTATAGTTTGGTGATATCATAGTTAAATTGTCATCATCATCATCATTGTCATCATCCTCAATTTCATGATAATTTAGAAGTGCTTAGGGGACAGTTTAAAACAAAACAAAAAAAAATTGGAAAAACAAAAATGAATCCAGTACAGTTGAGTCGATTCCAACTCATAGTGACCCTATAGGACAGAGTAAAACTGCTCCATAGGTTTTCCAAGGAGCAGCTGGTGGATTCAAACTGCTGACCTTTTGGTTAGCAACTGAGCTGTTAACCATTGACACTTTAGAGGGATTCATTTCCTGCTCTAGTAGGGGCAATGCCCATGGAAGCTAGAAATAGTGATGGATGAGAGCAGAATTCTGAACGTGAGTCCTCAGATCCCCACCAGTACAAAGGACATAAACTTCAAAAACCTCTTAGTTGAAACCTTCCATTTTGGTTTCCCTTCTTGCTATCCCAGCTGTGCTGTTTGTCCTGATGATGAGGAAACAATGCTCTTGACAGTCCTTCCTGCCTTCCTGTCTCCCTCAGCACTCACTGGGTTGCATGGCATTTCTGGATGGGTCATGGTCAAAGAGTGTGGATCCACTGCCCCACTCCTGCCCGGTAAGAGATGAGGGCTGAGGCTCCTTCCTCAGGACTGACAGGAAGACAGACTCAGCCATGGGTACCCTGAGGCAAATGATCACAACGGGAGGAAGTGACACACATATGTAGCCTGCTGGGCTGGGACAGATACTCTGAACGGCTGGCTGGAGACACAGGTTAATAATTTACAATTGTGTGGCTTTGAGAGTGCAACTCCCAGAGCTCATAATTATCCTAACTGATCTATGTTATCCCAGTCTCCTGGGTTTGTTAAATTAACAGATGAGGGAGGAGAAAAATGAATGTCCTGGAATGGACTGGGCATTCCTCATCTCAGGAGGAAAAAACACAGGCATTCTCACTTCTGACTTGTAAATTGCAAGGATTGTAATATGAAATTCAGACACTTTTTTCTAATTGAAAGAATCCATGAGTCACTTTGATATCAACAAGTGCAGTGAACTGATCAGGTAATTTAGGGAGAATTACAATTTCTATACCAAGAATCTGACACTATTTCCATATCTCTTTTAAGATTTGTGTCTCTAAGGAGAATATTCTACTTTCCTTCTCATAGTCTTTTCTTGGGAGTTGGGGTTTTATGCATTGAAGATTTATGTTTTTTGTGAATTTGAATGACAGTACTCTAATTTTTCTCTTTAGTTGATGTATGTTGGTATATTAGAAAACAAGTTTTTTGCATACTTGTTTGGTTACTTCATACTTTGTCTGAATTCTGCAGGGTTCTATTAGCCTGCAATCAAAGTGTTGCCCAGGGGACTTCCGTCATCTCAAGGCTTGACTGGGAGAGGGTCCATTTCCAAGGTAATTCACATGGCTATGGCAGGATTCAGTTCCTCAGAAGCTATTGACCAGAGGTCTTTCTAAGTTCCTTGCCACGCGGACCTCTTCATGGTGCAGTTCTCAACATGGCAATTGGCTTTCATCCAAGTGTGTCAGCAAGAGATCAAAAGAATGCCAGGAAGATGAAAGTCAGAGTCCTTTTGCACTGTAATCTTGAAGTCACACCCCATTTCTTTTGCCATATTCTATTCTTTTAAGTGTGTCACTAGGTCTGGACCACAACATGGGGAGGAATAAACATCAGGAGGCATGGGTCATTGGGAGGATTTTAGATACTGCCCACCATACAGGCCTTGCCTTCTATTACAATGTTAGGCTCTAAGCCCAGCATGGTCACTCTCCCTCTTTTCAGCCCATCATACCCCATCTTCACAACAAAAATCACCTAGGGAAGAACGGGAAGATGGGCAGATCTACTTCTGCACTGGATAATTCTGCAGACTCCATCATGCTGCTCCTCGCCATGCAGTAGAAGAAGGCTCCCTGGTTTCCATTGCACCAGCAGAACACTTCCATAGACACCATGCCAAGTTGCACCCACTTTGTGCCCCAATTCAACAAATATTCCCAGAGGCTTCTGATTTCTACTTAACTGGAAAGGACTCCCACCACCCATTTGTCAGTTTGTTATAGTATGGTGGCTTGCATGTTGCTATGATGCTGGGAGCTATCCTGCCAGTATTTCATACATCAGCAGGGTCACCCATGGTGCACAGATTTCAGCAGAGCTTTCTGATTAAGATAAACTAGGAAGATTGACACAATAGCCAGAACAGTAGACTCAAACATGCCAATGATGATGAAGATGATGCAGGACCAGGCAATGTTTCGATCTGTTATACATAAGTCCACTATGATCAGAGCTGATTTGATGGCAACTAACAACAACAACAACAGAAAGGGCTCACTTCACTCCAGAATAAAATTCTTTTAGATTTCTTTGTGTTCAGAACTCTTGAAGTCTTTAATAAAATGTGCTTTGTCTTATGTAGTTTTTTTTTTCCTAGTAGATAAAGTGGCGTTTCTGAGAATGATGGACTCTTAAACACCTTTTACATCCTACCAACGTAGCCCTCCTGGATCAGAGATCTCTTTGCTGACGAAATGGAGATAGGTATGTCAATAACTGATATGAGGAAAACTTGAATATAAATTCAGTAAATTGGATATGTAGAAAAGGATGCTATTTACCTGTGTGTTGATACATGGTAGAGAGTAATTTTTAGATACCAAATGACAAAATGGCAGGTGTGTAGAGGTCTATTTGAGAAGTAGAGGCTGGGTGCTGAGACATTTTAGAATGCTTGGACAGTAGCAAAAATTTAATATTAAACTGAAGTCATTTCATAGTGGGCAGTGGGTAGAGGGTATCAGAAAAAATGAGAGATAACATCCATGAGATGGATAGACACGGTGGCTGCAACACTGTGCTCTAAACATACCAAAGATTGTGAGGATGATGCACAACCATGCAACGTTTTGATCTGCTATACTTAAAGTCTCAATGAGTTGAAGTGGACTCAACAGCAACTAACAACAACAAAGAGGATATATTCTAGAGTCACTTCCAAAGATGAATGTAGAGGACAGGTGTATGAAAACTAAAGAGAGTTGTCTTCTTGTGGTAAAAAGTGAGATTTGCTTTGTGCTTTTCCCAATTCCCTCTCACATGATGACTATCCTTGAAATAAACAGAAAGACTATCATCTTCCTGCATCCTGCTTAGACATACAGTTGAGGAAAGTCTACCCTCAATTTTTTATCCCTGTTTTATTTATAGAATGTATCAAAAATTACCGTTTTATTAAATGATTCTTTTTCTTGCACATACAATTAAATGGAGTAATAGATCCCATCAAATGTCCATAAAAATAAAAACAAACAAACCATGCATTTCTTCCTTCAGGAGTTCTTAAAGATTTCTATGGATGGTATAGTTCTCTAGGGAGGAAGGAAAATACTAGATGTATTGATTCAAAACTTCTTAACCATTTCTTATAAGGCAGTGAATACTTTATTCAACATAATAAAAAGTAGAGACGGGACTAATCTCTGGCCTCACTGTGCTACATTTTGAGTATGTAGATAAATGATATCCAGTCCCCACCCTTGAATTAGTCAAGGTCTTATTGTGTAAAGGTAAATTATACTGACCTGCCAAGTATCCAGGGTAAACCACACTTAGAGTTCAAATAATTAATTTAAATGTCATCAGCCATTGAGTAGATGACAATGGCAATGATATCTATATTTATTAACCATGCATATACATTATCTGTTTAATCCTTACAGGATTGTAAGCTAAGTATCATTTAAAATGAAGAACTGGAGACCATGAGACTTTAATAACAAATTGCAGTCCACACAGCTAATGAGTTAGAGGAGCTAATGCTGAAAATCAAATATTTTGCCTGGAAAATGCATGAGTTGAATTACTCTATTGGCGTATTCATATAATGACTATTACCCAGACGATTACATTACGAAGTCAAGGTTTGGGACCAGTGACATGCATTCGCAGACATAACCTGCATATACACTTCTTTTAGATGCAGAAGTAGTCTGGGTAATAGATATTAATTATGGTAAAGGATGAAGATTCTAAGTACATAAAAATAGATTTGTGCACTTTACTGGGAAGCCTGGGTCATAGATGAGAAGCTACAGAAGGCTCCATAGCTATAATGGGATTTGTCATGCAGACTGACATATTCCAGAATACTACCACTAGCCAATTAAAAATGTGACAAAGGAAGTAATCTTCAGATATGAAATCTCGAGATTGAAGCCTACATGTAACCAAAGACGCAAGATTTCTTGTTGCAGATGTTTGGTTTTGCTGTCTTTTCCAACTCACACATCCAAAAAGACAGCAAAAGTATTGACACTAGGTTGTTCTGTTGAGGATCCTCTGCAGAGCTCTCTTGATGTCCCTGTTCCTCAGACTGTAGATGAAGGGGTTTAGCATGGGCGTGACTGTGGTGTACATCACTGAGGCCACTGCGCCTTTCCTGGCAGAAGATGGGACAGCTGAACTGAGGTACACTCCAAGGCCCGTTCCATAAAATAAACAAATGACTGACAGGTGAGAGCCACAGGTGGAAAAGACTTTATACTTCCCACCTGAAGATGAGACTCTCAGAACGGATGAAGCAATTTTAGTGTAAGAGAAAAGGATCCCTGAGACTGGAACACCAGCAAAGATGACACCAATACAATACAGTAATATGGTATTTGTGGAGGTGTCAGAACAGGCAAAGTTGAGAAATTGAGGAGAGTCACAGAAAAAATGAGGGATTTCCACATCTGTGCAGAAGGTAAGTTGTGACACCATTGAAAGGTTCAGCTGGGAGTCCAAAAGGCTGATGAAAAAAGATACCAACACTAGCAAGCCACAGAGGCGGGGGTTCATGATGACTGTGTAGTGCAGGGGGTGACAGATGGCCACAAACCGGTCATAAGCCATCACAGTGAGGAGCAGACTGTCCAGACATCCAAAGAGATACAAAAAGGACACTTGTGTCAGGCAGCCCACATAGGTGATGGATTTGCTTTGTGTCTGGATGTTCACTAGCACCTTTGGGACTGTGGTGGAAATGAAACCAATGTCAGCCATGGACAGGTTGGAGAGGAAGAAGTACATGGGGGAGTGGAGGTGTGGGTCAGAGGTGATGACCAGGATGATGAGCAGGTTCCCAGCCACAGTGATCAGGTACATGGACAGGAAAAGCCCAAAGAGGAATAGCTGCAGTTCTGGGTCCTCAGAGAGGCCCAGGAGGAGGACTTCTGGGACGCCTGTTAGATTCTGTGGCTCCATGTACATAAGGCAGCTTTTAGAAAAAGAAAAGAGGACGGCTAAAAGAAAACAAGAAGCACCTAGCACTCTTTCTGTATTTTGAATTCAAGAAACTCACAAGCAAAGCATGCAAATTCACAAGTTTCATACTTAAGGACCTAATACTCCAGTATCTTCAGCCATATTACTCGGTTGTAGCAAACCCAACCACTCTACTTCTCAGAACTCTTTCCTTATTGTTTTCTGTGCTATTCACCAGTTTCTGTACACAACCACTTTAGAGACTCTGTGCTAGAGAATGGTAGAATGGCAAGGACATTTTAAGATAACAAATTCAGACTGTGGGACATAAAGTGATACTTGTGAAGAATGTGCCTCTTAGACAAGTAGATATAAGAGACCAAAGGGGCGGCTTCTGTCCAGAGGTTAGAGGGGAAGGCAGAGAGAGTTAGGAGCTGGTTGAATGATCATGGGGAATCAGGGGCGGAGGGGAGGAGCGTGCTGTCGCAGAATGGGGTGAGCGGTTGGGGTCTCATAACAATGTATGTTAAAAAAAAAACTTCTGTATGGGATACTAACTTGAAATGTAAACTTCATTTAATCACATCAATAAAAAAAAAGTTAAGGTAACAAATTCATAGAAGGAGCAAAATATCATCCCCCTCTATAAGGAAAATATATGCAATAAGAAAACAATTTTAAGAAAGCAATCATTTCAATTAAAGGACACTAAGTAGCACTTGCAGTTCCAGGGTAGGCAAGCAGTTAACACACTTGGCTGCTAACTAAAAGGTTGGAGTCCACCCAGAATCACCTCAGAAGAAAGGCCAGGTGATCTACTTCCAAAAAATCAGTCATTGAAAACCCCATGGAGCACAGTTCTACTCTGAGACACATAGTGTCACCATGAGTCAGAATCTGCTCAATGGCAACTGGTTGTTCTTTTTAACAAGTAGTCAGATGCACTTTATTTTACCCAAGTACAGTGTAATAAATTCCCTTGATTTGAAACATTTATAAAACAACAAATAAGGGATAGGAACACATTAAAAAACAAACAAAAATGGTTGCCGTCGATTTGATTCCCACTCATGGCAACCCTATACGTTACAGAGTAGAACTGCTCCATAGGGTTATCTTGGCCTTTAATCTTTACAGAAGAAAACCACCAGGACTTTCTTTTACGGCTCTGAAGGGTATGTTCGAACCACCAATCTTTAGGTTAGTAGTTGAGCTCAAACCGTTTGCTTCACCCAGGTACCTCATTGGCTGGATTCTAAATTAAAGTAAAATATTCATAATTAGAGAGGTTGTTTATATGCCGATTATCTTCACATTTTTTCATCATTTTTTGGTTTTCTGACATCCATCTTATATGGACATACATGATCATTCAAATATGGGGGTTGCCTTTAAAAATCTTTTAAAATATATATACTCTCCCTTGGCTATAATGGACATCAAATTTTGTAATGATGGTTTGGTATATGCACAAAATCATACAACGTTGCTGATTCCAAAGATGGCATTACTGGAAAATGCACCAATGAGTAAACAACAATTTACTTTTAAGTAACACTCTGTTCCTGTTTTTCACTGTTGGTACAGTGGTATTTGCATCAATGCTATACCATCTCAGGGAAATGTCTGGTGTTCAGCTGATGTTTTCCTTTGTTGATTTTCATTCTCTATTGTCTTGATAAAATGCCAAAATATGTTTCTCATCATAAATGTTTAAAAGCATTGTTTCCTTATCAAATCAACACTCTCACAATTGAGGAAATTAGGACCAGGGCCATTACAAAGCTAGGTTTGAAACCCAGCCATCTTAGGCCTACTAAAGAGCTTTCCAAGTCAATTGTTTCTTCTCCTGGGGATTGGAATTCTCTTTTCAGCTTCCTGATGACAATTCACTTTTTCACCTCTCTTGGAAAGTCCAATATGATTTAATTTGGGAAAAAGTAAAGGGAAAAGAACAGAGGATAATACAAAATAACACATTGGTGATTTGCACATTTGTTGAAATACATAGAATTAAACCTAAGATAGTTGTAGAAAGAAGTTAGATTAAATCTTATGTATAAATTGCTTACACTCCATGGTTTTTAATGCTAGTTGATCATTATAACTATCTATGAATCTTTTAAAATATAATGATGAGCTAGCCACAACCTAGAACTCATTAAATCAGACTCTACAGGTGAGTCCACTGGTCATCCTGAAATATAGCCAGGGTTAAGAAGCATTGCTTTAGATTATTGCCAGGCTCTTGTAAGAGCTCCATCAATGTGACCTATTATTATCATTAATACCCACTCCTGACATTAATTGTATAAACATTTAATAATACTTGCTTCATAACTCATATTTTAGAGATTTAAATATTACTGATAAAACTTGAGTTTTCTTGCTCTTGATGTATGATCCACATACCTATTCCCCAAAAGGCAACCTCTGTAACAAATTTTGTGGGTATATTTTCCTCTCAATATTTTCATAATATTAGTATTATTTTGTGTATCCATAACCAGTTTTCTTGAAAATGTACCTAAATAGTATAATCCCACACATACTGTCCCACAGAAGTTCTCGTTTACTACAACATGGAGTTTTAACTGTCTCTGGGAAGTACATACATCTATTTTAAACACTTTAAATGGTGCACAGTATTGCTGAGTGAAGGATCATTTATGTCAATTTCTTATTAAGAATATCATAGCCGAATTCTTCTTCCACTCACCGTATTATTCATAATTGAGAATTCCCTATATATTTATTTATTATTCACAATTTATAATTTATGAATTTATTATTCACAATTCACAATTGAGAATTTTTATATTATATGTGCATGGAACGGAGTTTTTTGAAGTGTAAAATTGATGCATGTCCAAATTTACTATTAATTGCCAACGTTAGTTCACTAATACAAATTCAAACACAACTACCTGCTTTTATTTCAAGATATGGAATCATATATCCATGAAAGTTGTCTGGCAATGGTCACTCCATAATAGATTCACATGAAAATTACCATCCTGTATAGGGAATAATAGTCCCGTAGCTCAGACTTCTTAAGTATGCAGTAAAACGTATTACTATTCATAGAAAACCCTACAAGCCACAAGATTCATGCTATAAAATTCCCTGTAAACCATTGGACTTATTTTCTTAATTCACGGATCAACTCACCAAGTTGTAAGAGGAAGAAGCAATGGGTCAGTCTCCATTTGCTCATCTGAAAAGAAACACAATCATTCTGTTCTGGTTGAGGAGACAGAGCCCAGGAATAGGAATCAGGAGGGCAAGGTTCTAACACTATATCTTAAACACACTGAATTTGGAGTGCATGTAAATCTCTCAACCTCTCTTACCTGGAAATAGAGGGAATAATACCCACTGCTAGGATGCATGTAGCAGCTAAAAAAGGTTTGACACTTAGTAAATACTTGGACATGGTTTTTAATCAGATTGAATCAATATGAGAATAGTGGGTTTATTTGTTGAAGTACAATCCCAGTTTTATTTGATTATATCAGAAAGAAGCCTAATATGTCCCAGGAAATTTGAGCATAGAATGTATTGAAATCTTAAAATGTGCCTAGGTTCACACAGTAAGATTTACTTTCCCCTTCTCTTTCTCTATTTTTCCTTTTTACTTTTCAGTTTTATGAAAATCCCCACAATTTTTGAAAATAATTGAATGTTGTATGCTCTGTTAAATAGGTCCCATAGAAAGTCCATGATATAGACATATTCATACCCTATTTTGTCTTGTGTCTATTCCTATGGGACATCCTTGAAGGGATGAAAGCATGGGCAGGAAAGCACTTAGCATAGAAGCTTTACAACCTACGCTCTGATCCTGTGAACCAAGGGAAAAGGAAGCACGGGTCTATTCCATATTTAACACAGATTTGTTGTTGTCCTAGTGGTTGTAGCCTACTCTGTGCCAAGCACAGGATAGGCTCTGAGAAATCAGAAATGAATGAGACTCAGTTGTTTCCTTCCAAGCATTCTTATACATTCTTGTAGCAACCCATTGCCATCAAGTCAATTCCAACTCATAGTGACCCTATAGGACAGAGTAGAACCGCCCAAAAGAGTATCCAAGGAGCTCCTGAATTCAAACTGCCGACCTTTTGGTTAACAGCCTAGCTCTTGTGTAAGAATGAAAACAAATCCTCTTACAGGAATCCAGACAAAACAAAACCTTCAGATCACAGGATACTTTAGTTGAATGGCATGAAGCTTCATCTGATTTATATTAATAATTATAATATGCAAAATTAATGTGTCTTGACTATATGCATCCATCATACATTTAATCACTTAGGCAATGTCCATTATCTGTTCAATCCTTACAGCAATGCAGATCTCTCTCCCTCTATCAGCTGTGGATCAACTCAGATGACAATGTGAAAACTGAGAGACACTAAGCACTTGCCCTGAGGCACACAGATCATAAATAGAGAGCAAAGGATTCACAATTAAATTGTACATCACTGAGGCCTATGCAATGACCATCTTCACTCTGTTTCCTCATCTTTCAAAATGTTTGAAACAGAAGTTCAGGGGACTTAACCAAAGATATATCTAAGTTATACCTTTAAACTCATTCCAGCTTCCTGACTAGGAATGGAACACAAGATCTTGTGTTTATGTTTCCGAGATTGAAATGGAGTAAATCACAGGCATGAAAGGGGAATTGGACAGCTGAGCTAAAATCCAGGAGAAGGGACAAGAGAGAGATCTGTCCTGAATTATCATCTGCCAACTCCTGATATGACCTCATCCTGTATTCTCAACTATCTTTCTGGTAGTCAAGGCACAAACAGGCACCCACTACTACTGTCCACTTTGGACTAGCAGAAACCCCTCACAACAGAGCACAGTAAGCAGGGGGTCTCTGCCTGGAGAGAACAGGGAAGCAAAGCGGCAGGGTGGGTGGGCAGGGGAGAACATGACCAGGTCTCCTGTATTGTCTTGTGTCACACTGCCTGAATTCAAACCTGGTTTCAACCTTTTCTGTCTCATGACCTGGAACAAATTACAAAAAGCTATGCTCCTTTTCTCTTCTGTGAAATGACAATAACATGTGTTGCTCTTTTCTGGGTGTGGTTATGCAGAAAA